CTGAACCAAACCGATCCGATGGTTCAATCCCGGCCAGCTGGCCATGTTTACGGGCGTATCATGACAGTTTTCCTCCTGTTACTTATTTCCTTTCTTACCCGCTTTTCCTCCCTTTGGCATACCTGGTACTCGGGGAACTCGAGGGTATATTATTACCTAAGCATAATATGCAAGCGAGTTTTTTTTTAAAGAAATCTTCTTCAGGATATTATAACTTATAACATATTACATAATATAATTGTATTTTCATCTGTTTTATTTAAAACAAGAAAGGAAGCTAGCTTCGGCCAGCCGAAGCTTATATACCCTTGCAGATCATTCCTATTAATTAACAAATCGCAAAAATGTTCAATTTTCTAATATTTATCATTAATTTTCCGATGGTTCCTATGACAGCTATATGATATAGTCGTCCGATTTTGATCAAATTAAAATTGAAATTCGGAATTATTTAAAAAGAGTCATATCCTAGAGTAGAAGATAATACAATAAAAACCAAAGAAGCTAGAATTTATTTCCTATTACTTTTCCATTAATTTTCCGATCGTTCCTATGGCAGCTATATGATATAGTCGTCCGATTTTGATTAAATTAAAATTGAAATTCGGAAATATTTCAAAAGAGTCATATCCTAGAGTAGAAGATAATACAATAAAAACCAAAGAAGCTAGAATTTATTTCCTATTACTTTTCCATTAATTTTCCGATCGTTCCTATGGCAGCTATATGATATAGTCGTCCGATTTCGATAAAATTAAAATTGAAATTCGGAAATATTTAAAAAGAGTCATATTCTAGAGTAGAAGATAATACAACAAAAACCAAAGAAGCTAGAATTTATTTCCTATTACTTTTCCATTAATTTTCCGATCGTTCCTATGGCAGCTATATGATATAGTAGTCCGATTTTTTAAATAATTAATTCGAAATTCAGAAATATTAAAAAAATAACATCCCCAAAAGTAGAAGGTAATATTTCAAAAAACACCGAAGTTAGAATTTTTAAAAGTTTTTTTTCCGATTGTTCCTATGGGAGCTATAAGATATAGTTGTCCGATCCGGTCGGCTCCGACATATATACTACCTGCAATAGAAAGAAGACTTTTGGGAAAGTTTCATCCCGATAGCTCAAAAACTCAGAGACTAGTTTGCGTAGAAACAGACAGACGGACAGACGGACAGACGGACAGACGGACAGACGGTCAGACGGACAGACGGACAGACGGACATGGCTAGATCGACTCGTCTAGTGATGCTGATCAAGAATATATATACTTTATGGGGTCGGAAACGTCTCCTTCACTGCGTTGCAAACTTCTGACTGAAATCATAATACCCTCTGCAAGGGTATAAAAATATATATTTTAGTTCAAATTAAATTTAAGTAAAATAAAAAATCATATATTTAAGTTTTTACATTATTTATCGATTAAAATAATTTATTTTGTATTTATAAATAATATTCTTATATTACTACAAGTGACCAGAGCGCTGGGTATCTTAAGGTCGAGCCACCCGAGTATTGCCTTCCCACTTCCTGTTTTTTTTCCATCGTCCTGTTTACTTTGCTGGCCCTGCCTCATGTGCTTAAGGTTGTCACAAGTTGTCGGGTCCAGTTCTTGGGAAATCCCCCCCAAGGGCAGCTGCACTTGTCGTGCGGCTTGAGTCCCCAATGATATCGCATAAGTTTTTCAATTTTGTGCGTTATTAGAAGCGATTAGAGCGGAATGCTGATGGGAAGATGGGGACGAAGGAGCACAGAGCTACCATAAACACTTCAAAGCAATTGGCAGCTGGCTAAATTTGCTGTGAATGTAAACTTTTCATATTCAGAATAAGTTTTCTGTCTCCAAATATTAAACTTCGGGTGTCAAAATATGCAAAAATATGAAAAATTAAAAATCAACATTATGTTAAATCTGCACACATAAATATTGAATATTTTCTGTGATGCCCGAAACCCCAAGCTTTCATCTACTTCTGTTAATTAATGTTGGGTCCTCTATCTCTAGGCCCAATTTTCTAATTCCCGGCATAATATATGGAACTGGCTGGGCTGCTTAATGACCAGCTCTTAACGTTCTGTCTAATCCCACGACAAATCTCTCCTAACTACGTCCCACGCTGCGTATGCGTGTCATAAACATTCCCTTCGACCCAACTCAGTGGGACGCAAAAATAAAAGACCACAGAAATTAAACGGCAGTCGATGTGGATGTGGCTGTGGACCCAAGGCATTTGCCAGAAGAGCCCAAATAAAAGATTACGCTATAAACACATTTATCTGACCCTGAGACATAAAAACCTGCGCCCTCGATAGCATTTTATAACTCGGCAAAGTGCCATAACCAACAAAGGCAGCCTCTTCCTGATGAATTAAAGCCAAGGCTAGTAAAAGTTAACAACATTTCAACTTGGCGACTGATAAGTCGGCCCCAAAAAGCCCAAAAACAAAACCGAAACCAAAACAACAACGGAAAGGAAAAGCGAAAACAAAACCTTAATGAAGCATAAAAAATGTTTATGTCCATGGAAAACTAAAAGCCGACAACAACAACTGTATGCAAAAATAAACTTGAAACCATTTACGGAATGTATATTTTAAGGCACATAAATAAAATTTGCAGGCCAACAAAATAAAACAAGAGAGAACGCTATAGTCGGGTTCGTGTCCCGACTATCTAATACCCGTCACTCGGCTAAAGGGAGTGCGAGGGAGATGGATATATATTTTTGGATTGCGTATAACTTTTTAATGAATGGTCCGGTTTAAAAAATGTCTTCTACATTTCGATAGGTATAAATATACACAACAAAATTGCATTTATACTTCTCGAAAATCTTTAAAGGTGTGACCGCCAGGCACATTTTAAAATCGTTAGTGGGCGATTGTGGGCGTTAGAGGGGGCGTGGCGCTCGTCTGAAATAAACTTGCGCTGCGTAGGAAGCCCAAGAATATGTGTGAAAAATCTCAACCTTCTAGCTTTTGTAGTTTCTGAGATCTCAGCGTTCATACGGACAGACAGACAGACAGACAGACAGACGGACAGACAGACGGACAGACGGACATGGCTAGATCGACTCGGCTAGTGACCCTGATCAAGAATATATATACTTTATGGGGTCGGAAACGCTTCCTTCTAGCTGTTACAAACTTTTGCACGAATACAATATACCCTTTTACTCTACGAGTAACGGGTATAAAAAGGGACAGGCAAAAACAGGAGTAAACAAAGTCGGATAGGAAAATTTAATTGATAGTCCTGGAGGAAATCCCCATCAAGAGACGAAAGATGGGGCATAAATAAGTGGATAGTCAGTAGTTCTATTGATGAACTTGTAAATACCTTGTAAGGTTAAAAATATTGAAAAAATCTTTAATAAAAATATATGTATGCACAAATAAAAAAACGTTATTAAATTATATAAAAATGGAAGACCAAGGATTGTATTATGACCTAACCTGACGTTCATAAAAAAAAACCTCCTTGTTTTATTAGATAAAATATTCCACCCTTTGGCATACCCTGTCCTAACTTTTTACACTCTAGCCACAAAAACAAAAAGAAAAATAGTAAAAACCAAACGGAATAAAATGAGGGCGGAACACAGGCAGAAAAAAAGTGTTAATGAACAAAATAATGAGTTCCAGTGCCGAGTTTAGGGCCAGAAAACATTTTATGACACTAACAGCAAAACACCAAGGGGACTGGGCCAAGCCAACGGGAAAGCCAGGGAAACCCAGGGAAACCCCACCGAAAAACGAGAAAACCACCCAGCCACAGAGAGAAAGTCGGAGTCGCCGCATGAAGCAATAAATAATCACCAAAGTTTCGTTGAATCGAATTATCACCCCCTGAGGTGTAGTTCTGTAATGAATTTGTTTTGGGGTTTTACTCCTTCGCCCGGCATTTAGTTTCATTATGCTTTGCCTTTGCGACTGCGTGACCAGGCCCCCTCCAGTTGGCCAAAACTAAAACTGCAACCTCGGAATTCGTTTGTTTTCTCCTCGCTTTGTTGGTTGTTTGCCTTGGCTGCTCCACTTTTTTGGGGTTTTGCCTCACAAAGCTGCCGCAGCAAATACATTTGATTTGATGTGCAAACACGTACAGCACCACGCTGTCACTCGTCCCTTCGCTTGCATTGAGGTTTTCCGATTTTCCCGCTGCTGTTTGTTGTCGCCGTTTGATTTCAGTCATGGCCCAAATTACAATTGGCAGCTGCAGCGCAAAAAAAACAACAAAAGCATATGGCATTTAAATTGAAATTGGGAGTTGTCGCCGCTGGCCAAGAGAAAGTTTGCGGAAGGGCACAAATTTTACTTTAGTCGATGAATTTACAATTTTCAATTAAATTCCCTTGTTGTTTTTAAAATGTAATTGGATTCAACAAAAAATACTAACTCAAACTAAAAAAAAAATATTTAAATATTCAATATTTATAAAATATAAATATAATAATATCTAATGGTTTTTCGAAAATTTATATTTTCCTTATATAGTAGGTACTAGTACTCATAGTAGTACCTATTTGATCAATTCTCATATTGTTCTCTTATATTCGTTATTCATTCAGTCCAAGACCCATTTGTGCACATGGTGTGTGACTTCGCTAAAAGAACAAATTTTTCCAATTTGATAGTTCCGTTTTTAATATTAAACCAGTATTACTGTACAAATTGCAGCCTCCAAACAAAGCATACATGCTAAAATCCGATCTTTCGATTTCCAACTTGAATTTTACTTGTCAAATCTTTATATTTTTCGGTGTAAGAATTAAACAAAGTTAACGTCAGCAATTAAAAAAAAAAAGGTCACGGGGTTCATTTGCTGCGTTTTTAGCACATTTGCAGTACCACTCGATTTTTTGTGGTAGGTCGCTTGCAGCATGTTTTTACTCTATCAGCAGTTTCAATATAAGATAACTATAGGGTTCTCGGGGCTATGGAATATCGTAATCTTGACTGACAGCAAGTGTTTTTAAATCTCTCCTTCTTTGAATATTTATTTTAAAATTAATGTATTGCGTTATATATTTAAAAGTATACAGAAATTGCACGGGTATGACTAGAAGAGGTGTATATTGCTCCCTTATTCCTGATTCGCTTCGAAAGTGAAAAATCGCAATGTGCCAATTCGACTGGTGAAGCAGGCGATATAAGGGATTGTCAGGACGAAACACATTTGGGTTCGCGTGCTTCCCTTAACGGGAAAATCCTCGCCAGTCCGTTGACTGTAGGCAGCTGCAAAAACAATTAAAAATTAGATGTTTTACCTGGGCGAAAAACTATGAAATACTTGCCACGTATTTGGGATAGTGTTATAGACCGTTGTGGTGAATCGCTCTGGGAGTTTTTGAAGATTTCCCGTAAGTCATCCAGAATTGTGGGATGTTTTCGTTGCACTTTATTGAAAAAATCATCCATTGTAGCCATGGTTTATTTATATTTGTGTTTCGGTTGATATGACGTGAACGTGTGAACTCTGCAATCGGTCAGTGCAGTCTAAACTTAGGAAATCCGGAAATGAGGCAGCCGACACGCGGTAAACAAACAAATATGAAGGTACAGGTCTCACTCTCAAAAGTAAACACATATACTTTCAATATATTGAAACTTTTGTTTTTTCTTTTAAAAAATAATAAAACTATTTATTTTTATTTATTTTTTAATAATATTTTATTGATTAACCAGGCAAAAATGATAGTTGTTGTGTAATTTAATCCAATAAATTAAAGAAGATATTAACTTATAAATAAATTTTATTTTTTTTAATTTCTTATAATAAATAAGTTTAAATACTTACAATTTTAAATATATAGAGATTACTGTAAAACCGGTTTCTGACGAACAGCAGTTGTTATCAATGCGCTTTCGCTCTCTTTCCCTCCACAATTTTTCCACTTTCCCTCTCTGATTTTTTTCTTTACAACAATATATACAGTTCCACCAATTTTAGGTGGTGGTTTTCTCCACCCAGCTGATCGTTTTTCGGTGGTGGAAAACCCAATCGAGCGAAGTAAAAAGTTTCTCCGGCTTATCCAAGATCCAAACCAACTTCAATTCAACTCTTATACAATGGGAAAAAGGTTGGGAAACTGCAAGCCACTGACCGAATATTTAACTAAATTATTTTCTATACATTTTTAATGGGCAGACGGAAAGATTAAACCCTTTCCCAACTTTGGGCAACCATAAAAAACTTTGCTTCCCTTTTTGCGACTGTCCTGGGGCAAAATTAAAAATGAAGCACAACAAAACGGAAAAAAGAGAGCTAGAAATGCAGGGTAAAACAAGTAAAATGGCTTCACACGAAAAAGTTGTGGTGATTTTCACACTTGTGGCAAACGAAGTAAGAAAATAATTACAAACTTTGGGGGGAAAGCATCAGAAACAACAGCAAATAGTATTAAATTCAAATTATTTACATCACTTTATTTTTCATGACAGCACAAAAGTCGCATTTGGAAGGCGAACTGAACAACACGGGGAAATTCTGCAATGTAAGTAAAATAAAGAAAAACTTGACAAAGTCATTTTAATTTAAGTTGTTCAACATTTCAACACTCGCACAAATAAATTTAGCACGGCCTAAGGCTATTAAAAAACTTCCTTGAAATCCTTTTTATGTGCACCTTTAGAGTTTGTTATTTATGGTGCAAAATATAGGTAGTATTTATTTATTAACTGAAATATATAAAATGAAATAAATAAAAAATAATTATAAATTATTTAACTTAAGCTAAGATTTTAATGTACGCTTTGTTAAATTAAAGAGAAGCTTACTTAATGCCAGCTAGTTTCTGTTTATAAAGCCTCACCTATTCAATTATGATTTAGCAAGCTTAAAGTATTATATGCCACAAGTATTTGCCGTCATAATTTGAAGCTCATTAAAACGCATTCAGTTCAAAAAGGGGTAGCAAACTTTCAAACTGAAATGCGAACGTTGCCACACACACAGGACTCCCACACACTTGCTCTCTTGTATTTCATGTGTCTGCATTGTGCATTTCGGGTGAATAAAAAATGTGTGCAACGAAAATGAAATTTGCAACGGAAGTTATTTCACGCTTTGCAGCGCCAGCCCCCCGTGTGCCACGATTTTCCCGCTTTTCCGCCGCTTTTCCACCGCTCTCCAACCCCCGCGCATCATGTCAAAACTAAGTAACGAAGTAACGAGCTGCAGCCAGGAGTTAGAGTTGAAGGAATTAAGCAGCATAACAGACTGTCAGTGTATGGAAACGCCCACTCACATCCTGCGTAATTGGTTTCAAGTTGCAACAAAAACAGGGCAACAAGTTTAATTAACATAAAATATGAAGGGGCTGCAAAATAAACCAGCAAATAAATTCGAAGTGCCGTGTCCATGTAAGGCAAATTTATTGTTGAATATGCAAGGAGAACTTCCTCCTCCATGGAAAATGTTTTGAGAAAAATAATCAAAGTGAATAAAGCAAAATTTTCATCACGTGTGGACTCATTTATTAATTCCATGCCATTTGTGCTCTTGATTTACGCCCTCCACATAAATATCGTAATAAATGGAGCCGTTGAAGGATGTTGCCTTCTGCAGGACCTTCGACCAGAACGCACACACACATGTGTGCACAAGCACAAATATCCGATTTTGCATTAATAAATGGAATTTCTCCTGGTTTTTGGGTCAAGCATTTCAATTTATTTCCAATTTGAGCTACGAGGTAAAGATTCTTGGGGTTTTACAGCCACGTATGAATAACTGAAGCAGAAGTTTGTTATTGGGGATTATTGAAAAATGTTTTATAGACGAAAGGGCCATGATTAACTGTGGTTTATATGAATCAAAGATGGCCAAAAATACGTTATACCATGTACTTATAATATATTACGTTGTATTATTCATATTTCAATAAAATCAATATATATTCCTTCGCCAATGGGACAGTAGTGTTTTCTTGTTTGATCATATTTTTCAAATTTAGTTTCCTACACACAAAAAAATTTGCTTGGTAAAATTGACCAACAAAGATAGTTACGTAACTATTAAAATAGTTACGTGTATTTTGTTTTGCTTTGGGTTTGTGTCTTTGCTAATTGTGTGTATTTTGTTGTTGTGAAATGACAATTTACGTAGTAGAATTGACAATTTTGCTAGTTGGGGCCTGTTTGACAATTATTACAGTTGATTTTACCAAGTTTTTTTTTGTGTGTAGTTGTGCCATCAAAATGTCCGATGTCAGAATATTTGGCCATTCGGCAGAAAAGTTTCCGGAACCAAGTTTATCAATTAACGGAGCCAGCGGCTGTCAAGTGCAGGCGCAAAATGTGTGTTGGCCGGCCGTATTTGTGCATTTGTGTATTTGCGATGGCCAAGATGCTTAATTGAGTGCACACAGATACACGGACACGCACAAACGCAAACACAACTCAACACCTGGAGGTCCTCAAAGGATGCATCGCATACTTGGGGCTGCTGCATCGTTCTTGGTCTTCAACTCGGTTAGCAACTGTCTCCGCTTGGTGAGCAATCAATTTCAACTAAATGCCGTCTTCATGCATAATTGCTTGCCATTGTGTGCGCCTGTGTGCGTGGGTGTACAGGATACGTGTGCGTCGGTGTGCGAGTACCACACTGCGTATACTTATCGAGCGTGCTTAATATGGCAATTAAAAGATGATTCCAATTAAGAGGAAACACTGTGCTGCGTAATCACGGCACAATATCGCCTTGTTGGACACAAATTGCATTAGCATTAGAGTCCTTTTAATTGGCATAATAAACTAGAGTTGCCAGGCTAAAGAGATTCCAGCCTGCAGCATGCCAAAATTTCAAATTTAGTCTAAAAAATGTTAACTAAGTTGCATAATTCGGATTCACGAACTTATCAATTAAAACTTATCAATTAATTAAAGCGCAATTAAAACTCTTGAATTACAAAAATGACTAAAAGTACATACATTTTGTAAATTATTTCGTAGTTGTATTTTATATAATAATAACGTAAGTCTATTTTAATTGTATTAATATCTTTTGATACAATTAAAATCAATTTTATTTCCAAGAACGTCTTAAACATTTATGAAGTGGAAAACCAAATCTTTGTAATTGAATACAAGCAATAAAAATAATATAAACGGATTAAATTAAATTTGATTGCAAAAATATACGAATTTAGTATGAAAGGAAAAATGCTTCATAATAAATTTGCAACTTGCAAGTAGATTATTATTTCTGCCGCATTAAATGCTCAATTAAAACGCAGCCGTAAAGAAGCTTACTTTTTAGGATAGAATAGAATTATTAAATGAAAATAGTACTAAACTAATTTGTGCTTTTCAAATTATTTAAAAAAAAACAGCCAAAGCGCTTTGCCTGCATATTCATAGAAAAAATAAAGCAGAGCCTTTGAGGCCTTTGGCTAAATAATTTATTAGCCGGCCATAATCTATAATTAAATCGTGTAAACTGCCGCAAGCGTTTATGCGGTCACATTAATATTAATTGCTAATATTTAGAGCCTTTAAATGGCTTAATTAAATTGCCACTTGAACAACAAAAGGAAATTACTGCCGCACTGCGTGTTTGCAGGGCCGTGTTCCGTGTGCCGCAACTGGTATTTTTCTCTATTATAAAAAATAATTAACCCGCCACAAACAATTAATCAGTGCCTCTCGCCAAACACGTACATATTTCGTTCCATTTGCATAAATTAAACGAACTAAAAATGCCATCGACATAATTAGAAATGTGATACCGGGTCGCAGTGGATAATTTCGAATTGATTTATGCAAATTGCAAAACCACAAAACCGAATGCAAATTTCTCGATTATTAAAAAAGAGTCAGCTGTTCGGCTAGTATTGAGTAAATAAATTAATAAAAATAAATATATTCGAGCACGAGTTATTTGCATGTAACGCTTGTCGAGCATTTGCTATTTGTCCCAACTAAATATTTATGCCAGCTGTCCGTGTTCGATGTCCGTGCTCATCTGCGTGTAACCATGTCCATGTCCCTGTCCACTTCCATGTTCGTGACTAGTCCGTGGGAGAAGTGCAGCCAAGTGCAAAACCAAATCAACCAAAATGTGCGTAATAAATATTAATTTAATTTTTTGCATCTACCATCCTCGTCCGCCCTTTGCGGCAGCGGCATGCTAAATTTCATCAAATGCATCTGTTAATTTATGCATGTGAACTCGGACATAAATGATTTTGGGTAATAGAAAATTGTATACATGCAAAGGAATGAATGGGAAATAGATGTCAGGCAATGAAAAAAAATTAAAGAACAAAGTCCGAAAATTCTTATATAAATAAAGTCATATAATTTATTAGTTGCGTGTTGAGCAATGAACGCTCACGAATATTTATTTAAACTACAATCTTAATAAAGGGAGATTAATATAAAATAAATAAAAACAATTGTATCATTGGACTCTATTTTTTATCTATAAAAAAAAAACAAATTGAGTAATAGTTTTACTCAATTTGTGTATGTAGTAACTTCTTTCAAATAGGTAT